AAAAATAGAAAAATTAGCTGGGCATGGTGGCATGCGCCTGTAGTCCCAGCTACTTGGGAGGCTGAGGGAGGAGGATCACTTGAGCCGAGGAGTTTGAGATTGCTGTGAGCTATGATGATGCCACGGCACTTTAGCCTGGGCCACAGAGCAAGATACTGTCTCAAAAAAAAAAAAAGGAGTGGGGGATAAACAGCAAGGCTCATTGTTCTGCACGAACTACAGGTTTCTCTAGGATTTCCCTGTTTGATGCAGCAGTATCAACTCCCCCCCGTGTGACATACCAATATCACTGCAGTACAAAGAAGACCTTCCTCTTTCTGCTGGGGTGGTGTAACCCAGCTGGTTATTGACGATCAAGTGGACACTCCCACCAATTCTGAAATGTGGGAGATTAGACAGCGTGAATGTTTCTGGAACAATCCCTTGACCGCAGAAAGAAGCATCACCATGAACCTAAATCATGGGGGTAGAAAAGAGAAGAGGAACATAAGGGATTAGGAAATTTAGGTTTTCTTTCAGATTGGAATAAATTTTTTCCCCATACTAACAGGAATATAAACTACCCTCACCCTCCTTCCTTGCCTTCCTAAAAACGAGCGGGTGATAGGATTTCCTACAATGGTTAGGCTGATCTCAAAAGCAGCTTTCAAAGATGCTAGATCGGTCCTTCTCCTTTTGCTGTCACCATCACTTAACCTGTTCCTTGTACACCACATCATCACCGATACTCATCATGTAAGCAAACATTCTGGTAGCACCACAGAAGGGAGGGCTGTTGGATGCAAAGAGAAAATCACCTCTAGGAAATCTTGGCAGAAAACAGCCTGTGAGACACAAGGAACAGGGCACAGCTTTGAACACTCCTGAAAAGAGACTACGTGGCTTACGTCTCCTAAACCTCGCTGCCACTGTGAACATAAAGGAAAGTGACGTGATGGCAAAGATGAGAAGGTTTGGGAGAAAAGTATTTCATACATAAGTGGAAAGATGGTTTGAGGAAAAGCACGATATTATTACAAGAGAATATCTCAAATGTGCAATCCTTCTAGAACATTTGAAGTCACTACATTGCAATACCATCACAAAACCTGGTAGACTAGTAGTAGAGAAAGGAAAAATTTTTTTATTAGAGATGGGGTCTCACTGTGTTGCCCAGGCTTACCTCAAACTCCTGGGCTCAAGCAATCCTCCCACCTTAGCTTCCCAAGTAGCTGAGATTATAGGCCAGCGCCACTGCACCCAGAGGAAAATCGTTTTTACATTTAAAGCAAATAATGAAGGCATTGTGATCTTAGAAGATCCAGAGCAGGCACGGTGGCTCATGCCTGTAATCCTAGCACTCTGGGAGGCCGAGGCAGGAGGATCCCTTGAGGTCAGGAGTTCAATACCAGCCTGAGCAAGAGCAAGACGCTGTCTCTACTAAAAAGAAAACAGAAAAATTAGCCAGGCGTCATGGTGCACACCTGTAGTCCCAGCTACTTCGGAGGCTGAGGCAGGAGGATCATTTGGGCCCAGGAGTTTGAGGTTGCAGTGAGCTATGATGATACCACTGCACTCTACCCGGGGTTACAGAGTAAGACTCTGTCTCAAAAAAAAAAAAAAAAAAGATCTTAGAAGAAAGAACAAGCTCTACTGGCTTCATGCTGAAAAGCTATTATCATAAACAGCCAAAACACTGAACTAAATAAAATGATCTGACATGCCCTACCTTAAGGCAACCACTGTGGCTCAGAGAACAAGAAGTAAAAGACCTAAATATGAATGAAGAAAGAACAATTGGAAGTAGATTTTTTTAAAATACCATTGAAAATGTCCTGAAAGTGTCATTTTTATATAAGTAGAATACTCAGGCTTAAGAAAGGAAGCACTCCTCTACCTAAGGGAAATTTCCAGTTTACACCTTCCCAACCTACAGGTACGACTGACATTTTGGAGGACCAACACCTATGAATAGTGTGCCTTGCGTTATTTTCCACGGCATTGTGCGTGGTTTCCATTAATCCACCCAACAACCATGTAGGAGAGTCAGGTTAAGGAAAACACTGCAGTTCTTTTCACAGGTGAGGAAGCCAAAGTTCAGAAAGAGTATACAGTGCACATGGCTTAGGCTAGACCTTCTACGATGCATTTATTTTTCCTGCTGATTTCCCCATTCCTCCAAGTCTTTCGCCTGGGTCAGGAAACTTATACCCACATGTTCTCATTAGTCCTCAGAACACTATGAGGAATCTGATATATCCCCATTTTACCTACGAGGCTCAGAGAACCTCAGTAACAGGACCAAGCACGCCAAGCTAGAAGGCAGCACAGCCAGGATTTGAACTTAGGTCTTCTGCGTTCCAGAGCCTGCAAAGTCCAGTGCTCGGCCTCCGCAGGGTCAAGGGGTTCCTGACAGCTGAATACTCCTCACCGTTTGGTGTCCCTGCTCTGAGACTTCTTGCGGGGCAGTGATGTAAGGGAGATCAGTACAGCAAGGAAGAAAGATATTTGACTCGTCCCTATTTTTTCAAAAATGCTATAGCGGAGGAAGCAGAGGCATTGTTCATGATCTGATGAGAACATAACATCTGTTTGCAACTTGCATCGTTTTATCACAGTCTTAGGACTCTTGACACTACAGCATGCATGTATCATGTGCTGATCTTATTTTCCTTCTTGCGTCAAAAGAGACCGCTGTGTTGATAAAGCTTTGTGGGAGGAAAGGTCCTTAAACACAACGAATACTGGGGGAGGCGGAAGGAATCAGCCAGACGCAGCAGAGAGTTCTTGACACACACTGAAGATCCAGTTGCAATAAACAGAAGACAGGCAGAAAACGAAGCATCGGAAATCTCACCCACTGTGACTTTATAGGCTCTGAATTTAGAGTCCCCATAAGGAATCCGAATTGTTGACTCCGAGCAAGGCAAGACCATGTCCAGACATGGCAGGACAAAATATTTTTGGGAAACAAAGTAGACAAAGGAGGGCACTCATCATTTTAAAGAAAATGTCATTTTCACCTCTTAACTTCAAAAGTCCATCTTAAGACCAGCACAATGTGCTGGGTAAATGTGAATGACATAGTTTAGAGTATCATGGATTAAGTGACAAGGAAAGAGAATGGCCCCAATGAGTTGCAGATTTCCATTTAGAAATACCATAATCAAATCCCAGTCTGCCCACCCCTACTTTATTTGATAGAAGTTTCTGGCCCATGAAAAATTAACATGAATAGGATGATGTCGCTATCTGTACACTTAGCAGAATATTCCACTGCCATGTATATATATATATTTCTGTGAGATTTGAAGACTCCGTTATTGTTATCCGATTAATTACCCACCCCCCAGCAGTTAAAGGTTCACGTTTAAATGAACACTAATAGAAGAAAACGTGACCCAGCGCTCAGACTTCTTGTTGGGTTACCAAAAATTGGGGGGCGGGGGTAGATGAAGAAAGAGCCACACTAATAATTCATATTGTTTGCCTTAATGCCAAAGGCAGACAAAGAAAACCACACTCTTGCAGCCTTGTTAGACATACTGATACCGTGGAGTTGTCCTAGAGGCCTGCACTTTCAGAGAAGTAATGAGGTGTGTCCTCTCAGAAGTCGCAGGTATGCCAGCCAATACCCCTCAATTAATTCACAACGCGAGAAAGGAAAAATGCAGTGGAAACCCCAGGCTAAAGCCAGTCACCTTAAGACTAGACTTCATATCTGCCATTAATTGTAAAAATGAGCCTGGAATCTTTTTTTTTCCCAAAAGGTCATCTCAGTTTCACCTTGAACATCTGCAAGTTCCTGTTGGCCCTACCAAGCCAGACATTCTTTGTCCGGTTTTCCCAACCTCTGGCCTCACTTCCTAAAGCAACGAGTACCTGTAAGCAAATGACTTTGTCTCCAGGCCGTGCTGAGCTGTCGGGAGAGTAGTCCCCGTCTTGCCGAGACTGCTGCCTGCCACGGGTCTTCCCCACGGCCACGGGGTTCACAGCTTCCAGGTGCGAGGGATTAGGCAGCATCGTCACGTGGAGCGGATGGTGCGCGCCGAAGTCCAGGTCCACGGAGGCGGTCAGGTGAGACAGGACATCTCCAGTGGCCGAGAAATTCTCCGGAAATTCACTTAAGCCTCGCATTTTACGGAACATCAGCTGTTATGCATAAACATGCAAGGAAAAAAATGTCTTTTATCACAATAGACACTAGGGAAGAAGAGGGTGGTTAGTTTAAATCATATAATAAAAGAAACTTCGTGCAACAGTTTTATAACTATTATAACCATGTGTTATTTAAAGATAGGCACAGACTTGTAACTGCTTTAAGAAGGGTCTAACTAAGGCAAATAGCAGGTAACCTCTGTCACGTGACAAGTGAAACAATGCTGTAAAAATATACCTGTTAGAATATATCTTACAAAAAGAGCTTTGTATTAATTTCATTAAAGGTAGAGAGGAGGCCGGGTGCAGTGGCTCACGCCTATAATCCTAGAACTCTGGGAGGCCGAGGTGGGAGGATCACTCGAGCTCAGGAGTTCGAGACCAGCCTGAGCAAGAGCAAGACCCCGTCTCCACTAAAAATAGAAAAAATAGCTGGGTGTGGTGGCATGCGCCTCTAGTCCCAGGTACTTGGGAGCCTGAAGCAGGAGGATAGCTTTGAGCAATATATTAACATATTAAAAAATGAGTCTATGCCGGGCGTGGTGGCTCACACCTGTAATCCTAGCACTCTGGGAGGCTGAGGCGGGCGGATTGTTTGAGCTCAGGAGTTGGAGACCAGCCTGAGCAAGAGCGAGACCCCGCATCTACTAAA